CCAGAAGGGAGACTTTTGTACAAGCATAGACCTAAAGGACGCGTACTTTCATGTGCCGATACAATCACGCCACAGAAAGTTTCTGCGGTTCGCATTTCAAGGGGTGGCGTACGAGTTCACGAGGATGCCGTTTGGGTACGCCCTGGCACCTCGAACTTTTTCCAAATGTGTGGAGGCGGCATTGGGACCACTGCGTCGTCAGGGGATAAGGATATTAGCCTACCTAGACGACCTGCTGGTTCTCGCCCCGTCAGCAGAGCTGGCGTTCACTCACACGACACAGACGGTGATTCATCTCACGCGTCTGGGGTTCGCTGTGAATTGGAAAAAGAGCGCACCCTGGCCCAGTCATCAGATTGTCTACCTGGGACTACAGCTAGACACTGTAATGATGAGGGCTCGAATTTCGGACCCTCGAAGGGCAGCATTGTTACTAGCCCTGAGGAGGTGTCGTCCGAATCACACAGTAACGGCGCTATCGATCATGTCACCTTTGGGTCTCATGTCGGCAGCCCACTCTGTGGTCCCGCTGGGGCTTCTGCACATGCGCAGAACACAGCGGTGGTTCGCCCAACTAAGACTAGACCCAGTGCGTCAACGTCATCGGTTGGTGGTGGTTCCTCTCTCGCTAAGAGCAGACCTGGACTATTGGAGGAACCCGTGCGTTCTCACGCACGGAGTCCCGATGGGCAAGGTGTCATTCCACATTCCAGTGTTTACAGATGCCTCTCTGACTGGATGGGGAGGGACATGTCAGTCTCAAGCGATAGGAGGTGCATGGCCTCAATCAGGTCGTCACATCAACCTCCTAGAGTTGGAAACGGTTCGACTGGTTTTGACCCACTTCGCGTCTACCCTTCGGGGTCGCGATGTGTTGGTCTGGTCAGACAACCGGACCACAGTGGCTCACATAAACCGCCAGGGAGGAGTCAGGTCTCCTGCTCTCCATTGGGCGGCAATGGAATTGTGGCTGTGGGCTCACAAGCACCTTCGCTCGTTGAGAGCAGCGCACATTCCGGGCTACTTGAACGTAGGGGCAGACCTCATGTCAAGAGGGGGTCCTCGAGACGACGAGTGGTGTCTGCACCCGGACATTGTTCTACGAATTTGGGAACAATTCGGGAGAGCCGAGGTGGACCTGTTCGCGTCACGTGTGAACGCGCAGTGTCCCCTATGGTTCTCTCTGAGAAACCAGGACGAACCGCCATTGGGAAGAGACGCATTCGCGCACTACCCGTGGCCGAAAGTTCTCCTGTATGCATTCCCTCCGCTGTCTTGCATTCTCCCACTGCTAGCCAGGGTGAGGTCAGAGGAGCTGTCAGTGATACTGATAGCGCCCGATCGCCCGGGGGCTCCGTGGTTTGCGGAGATGAGTCAGATGTTGATTGCGCCACCTTGGCCAATTCCACATCGACGAGACGCGTTGACCCAGGCGGGAGGCTCGATAGGGCAGTGGCCCATAATCGGCCAACCACTGAGGGCTTGGTTCCTGAATGGGACAGGTTGAGGCGCCGTGGGTTATCTGATTCAGTGATCAGAACCATACAGGGCGCAAGAGCCAGTTCCACCTCTAAGGTGTATACCAGCAGATGGAATGTTTTCTCACAATGGTGTGACACACAGGACGTGGACCCCATGAGCTGTCAGGTAGAGAGTGTGCTCTCATTCCTGCAGTTTATGTTTGATAAGCAGAAATCGCCCTCCACCATTCGAGTGTTTGCAGCGGCAATTTCAGCTGGTCATGAAGGGTTTAACGGGAAAAACGTGTTCAGTCACCCATTAGTGAAACGTTTCTTATTGGGAACGCGACGGCTTAGGCCGAGGCCTAGAGCTACGCTGCCCAAGTGGGATTTGGACTTGGTTCTCGAAGCGCTATGTAAGTCGCCGTTCGAGCCATTGAATCAAATACCCCTCAAGATGCTGTCTATCAAGACGGCGCTGTTGCTCGCCTTGACTACCGCTAAGCGGGTCAGTGATTTGTGTGCACTGTCGACGAGACCCGACTGCCTTGCCATCAATGGCGATCTGAGCAGAGCGGTGTTACGTCCTAACCCGGCATTTGTGCCGAAGGTTATTAACAGTGCATATAGATCACAGATCGTGGAATTGTGGGCTTTTCATCCCCCTCCCCATGGGGAGAGGAGTGAGGAAAAGCTTCATTGTCTGTGCCCAGTACGCGCTTTGGCGTGCTACATTGAGCGCACAGCAGCGGTTAGGTCATCGCCTCAGCTGTTTGTGTGTCACGGTGCGGCTGCATTAGGTAGACCACTTTCAAAACAGCGATTGTCTCATTGGCTTTGTGAAGGAATTGAGACGGCGTACGAGGCGGCGGGGGCAACAACCGCCTCAGGGTATTAGAGCGCACTCCACTCGTGGAGTAGCAGCTTCTACTGCTCTTTTCAGAGGAACAGAGGTAGAGGATATTTGTAGAGCAGCGTCATGGTCGACACCGTCTCCTTTTATCCGTTTCTATCTGTTGGATATGTCTTCTAACTCTTTGGCTCGGTCTGTACTCAGCGTGGCTGAAGGGAGACTTTGAGCAAGACAGAGAAGGAAAGCAGGATTGTGACCATGTTCATAAATCCGCTTTTATTAGAAGTAACATATTCTGGATGGACATGTTTTCTAACTTTTTAGCTCGGTCGGTATTCAGCAGAGCTGAAGGGCGACTTTGAGCTAGAGAACAAAGCAGGACATTGGACAGGTTCCAATCAGGTCCGCTTTGGTGAGGAAAACTTGTTATGGCAAAAGATAAGCTTTTTAACTCTCAAGCTCGATTGCACTCAGCGCAGCTGAAGGAGAATCTTGAGATGAAGGAGAGAGAAGCAGGACGATAGACAGGTCTCTATCAGGTCCGCTTTGGATGAAAAGCATATTTTGTGACATGTCTCCTGACTGACTGTATCAGTATGGTAGAGACATGTATTGAGTGGACAGAATATGAGGTCATCTATCTGAGGTTCAGTTTAGTATGACTGGTATTTTTTGTCCCTGCCTACTAATCTCTGGATTCCATTGAGTGAGTAAGGCGGTCTATTGGACACATAATGTAGAATGACATTTTATGTCATTTCATTAGTGGACGATAGCGTTGTCACAGAATATTGAGGCACGGCTATCTGCTAGTACAGATTAGCACGGCGTCTATTCTGATGATCTGCCCAATAGCCATTGCCATCGTCATTGAGCTAGATGGGGCGGGTCTATAACCGATGACGCGGTATATTGTGACGCCCTGATGGGTTTCTCAGTCGCAGTACTGCGGGAATTGGTTGCAGCCATTGCTGGGCTTGACCTTTTTTCATTTTTTAATGGGAAGTGTTAGGCTCGGCAGGGAGTACATTTTGGAGCGTTTCGCTCCGCCTTAAACCACTAGGAGCAGAGCTCCCCTATGGGGCGGAGCTCCACGATATAGAACGACTAGTTACCGGAGTGTAACTCCAGTTCTATGAGTGGAGCGGAGCCCCATAGGACTTAAGGCCCTGCCGACCCTCTCTAGTCTCGCTGAAGATAATATCTCGGGAGGCAGATTGAGGGAACGGGGTTCCTTATATAGGGACACCTGTACTCCTATTGGCTGTAGGTGTGTGCATAATTTTGCTTCAGGCTGTTTCTGCCTTAGGGCAGAGGGTAAACCACTAGGAGCAGAGCTCCCCTATGGGGCTCCGCTCCACTCATAGAACTGGAGTTACACTCCGGTAACTAGTCGTTACATCTACTTGTCAGCCACTGCATTTAGCTAGCTATCTAAGTTAAAGGAGTAGTTACCAATTTTACAACTTCATGTTATATGGTTCCTCACCCTGAAAGTAGTCTATGGGCTAGGATAAACTGTAATCCATGGTTTAGTTCTTTAAACAGCCACTATAGACTTCAGTTCACTTTAGCCACCACTAACTAAAAATACTGAATCCTAGGAGTCGATTGCAAACGGAATATTGACACTCAGAAATGTTAGTCGGCAGGCAAGCGACAGCAGCGAAGTCCTGTATTGCAATACTTTGATAAGTTAAATGAGAAGGAAATGCAAACTTTGCGAGGTGGAATTGAGGTACAGTAATGGAAGTACAGGTGCAATGCTTAACCATCTGAAAGGGACACCGTGATACCCAAACCGTTGCTGGCAGCATCGCAGATTCATTGTGAATTCACATGTAATGTTATGAATTTTTCTTATCGTTTTAACGGAAAACAGATGTTTTTTTTTAATGGCCGTTTAAACTTTAAGAAAATGTTTCCATTTGTCACATCCCTATTTCTACTCTACCTGACTCCCTCTGCCACCAACTGGCCTAGTGTGTAAAAGAGAACAATGGAGCATTTCTTGATAAGCATGGTGGCTTTGATAAATGGTTTGTTGAATTCAGTCTCACAACACCTATCGTTAGACATACATTGTTCATAAGATCTTTTATTAGTTAGGCTATTTGTAGCCTACATCACACAGCAAGTATCTGGTTGGCAACATCAAGATTTACTTGCAGGGAACAGTGAGTGACATGATTCAAATGTGACTCACAATTTGTAACAGCACCATGCATTAGCCTTTCTGTTGACACAGAGATTACAGTAAATGGGGTCAGTGGTGTTCTCTGTAGAGACTTGTAGATGGATCTACAAAAACACAGTCTACCTGGTGCATGAAGGTAAGCTGTTAAAGTGAGATGTTTTTATTGCGGTGAGCTTTGGAATGGTACTGCTGGATTTAAAGTTACCAGAGAACACTGGGCTTTGGTGATAATAAGCTGCTAGGAGGACAGATATTTAAGGTTGTAATAATGTCATTATGGTGAAGCCCACAGTGGACTCTGGATTCTAGAGTGATTGTCATGTATGGCTGTTGTTGTTCTGCAAACAAACAATAACACTTCTTTCAGTTTGGTAGAATGCACACTTGTCGTCTTGTTTGCTCAGAAATATTTGCAACGTTTAGGAAACCAGTCGTCGGGCCAGGGTTTAGGTTTAATTCTATTGTTTCCTCTCTGTTGTTCTGTCCTCAGACTTCAAGAAGACCCCCCAACTGGCGTGAGTGGTGCTCCATCAGAGAATAACATCATGGTGTGGAATGCGGTTATTTTTGGGTGAGTGTTCTAAAGCCACCCCTCTTATTGTGCCAGTGTGGTCATCCTGGCATGGGCATCAGGACCATACGGATGAGGTGGATATGGGCAAATTGAGCTGTGGTTTACGCTACAGTCAGAGAGGGAGGCAGAGGGGTGTGTTGGCTGGGGGTTAGTTTAGATGGTGACATGTAGTTGTTGAACTGTGGAGGCTAGTAGCCACATATAAAGTTATTTTGTTGATTGGAAATGAGAGCATTTGTATCTGATACCAGGAATGTATTGCATAGTCATACTCATTATTTGTATTAATTAGGATCCTCGCAGTTACTCTTCCTGGGGTCCAAACAGGATTAAAACAACCATCACAACAAAACGTAACAGCCACATCATACATTAATTAAACTTCTTTGTAATGCGATGTGCTATTAAGTCTATCAAAATTATATTTGTTATAAGGAGGGTGTAAATGGCATTTCCAGGTGAACAAATGTGAGAGCAGTCGTTGATCATATCAATCAGAATAATTTCAATGTATTACAATATTTCAGGGAGAACATCTCCAGAGCAGAAGCCATGACAAATGTCTAATTCGCCTTCTTTAAAGGAATACTTTGGGATTTTGGCAATTATCTACTTCTCCAGAGTCAGATGAACTCGTGGATACCATTTTTGTGTCTCTGCGTGCAGTTTGAAGGCAGTTGCTTCCAGTCATTGCGCTAATGCTAATTAGCATTGACTCACAAAACTACCTCCATCTTCCTTCATACTGGACACAGAGACATAATTGTATCCACGAGTTCATCCGACTCACCCGAAGTATCCCTTTATGCAGGCCCTTCAAACTGCACCCAGAGACACAAGTACTAAGTCATGTTTTGCAGAGGGGTCAAATACTTATTTCCCTCATTAAAATGCAAATCAATTTATAACATTTTTGACATGCGTTTTTCTGGATTTTGTTGTTGTTATTCTGTCTTTCACTGTTCAAATAAACCTACCATTAAAATTATAGACTGATCATTTCTTTGTCAGTGGGCAAACGTACAAAATCAGCAGGGGATCAAATACATTTTCCCCTCACCGTTAAATAATTAACTATATTTATCTGAAATATTGTGGTCTTGTGTGGCAATATGTTTATTTAGGTAGTTGGGGTCTAATTACTAGATATGTTAGCCTGTTACAGTACAAGTAATTTTTCCTCTATTTGCAGGCCTGTGGGTACACCATTTGAGGATGGTAAGTTAACCATTCTTTCTAAATCAGTTTGAGTTAGCCTACAGTAATGTAAATCATCAGTTTATCATAACATTACTTTAACCCATGAACTGGTTGAAAACAATGAACTTGGCTTTCATACTTTTTCCAATCATGCTAGCCAAGAGCAAAGACAGTCTTGGTATTCTAAAGTGTGATCAATTTGAACAGGTTCATGACTCCGCTGCCTTAAATTATGCTGTGGAATATGGAGAAAGTGCTGAGTCAGCCTTCATATTCAGGCTTATATTAGTCATGTCACAGACTATTAGCTGTATGGCGGACCATTTTTTTTCTCCACTCCATAAAGGATTAGTTTGATTAATGAGGAACAGATTATATTTTTAGTAACACTAATTGTCTCTCTCTCCGCAGGAACTTTTAAGCTTGTGATAGAATTTTCAGAAGAGTACCCTAACAAGCCACCCACGGTTCGATTCATCTCCAAAATGTTTCACCCAAATGGTAAGAGAGTCCCTATGGACTCAAATTGTCAAAGACTCCAGCCACCCTAGTCATAGACTGTTCTCTCTGCTACCGCACGGCAAGCGGTACCAGAGTGCCAAGTCTAGGTCCAAAAGACTTCTTAACAGCTTCTACCCCCAAGCCATAAGACTCCTGAACAGCTAATCATGGCTACCCAGACTATTTGCACTGCCCCCCCACCCCATCTTTTTACGCTGCTGCTACTCTGTTAATTATTTATGCATAGTCACTTTAACTCTACCCACATGTACATATTACTTCAACTACCTCAACTAGCCAGTGCCCCCGCACATTAACTCTGCAACGGTACCCCCCTGTATATATAGCCTCCCTACTGTTATTTTATTTTACTTCTGCTCTTTTTTTTCTCAACACTTTTTTTGTTTGTCTTATTTTACTTTTTTTATTAAAAATAAATGCACTGTTGGTTAAGGGCTGTAAGTAAGCATTTCACTGTAATGTCTGCACCTGTTGTATTCGGCGCATGTGGCCAATAAAATTTGATTTGATTTGGACACATTTGAGATGTCCTAAATACTTTAGCCATGTTGTTGATGCGAAAGTGAACTTGGTATCAACTTTTCAGCATTTACAGTTGAAGTTGGAAGTTTACATACACCTTAGCCAAATACATTTAAACTCAGTTTTTCACAATTCCTGACATTTAATCCTACTAAAAATGTATTGTCTTAGGTCAGTTAGGATCACCACTTTATTTTAAGAATGTGAAATGTCAGAATAATAGTAGAGAGATTTATTTCAGCTTTTATTTCTTTCATCACATTCCCAGTGGGTCAGAAATTTACATACACTCAATCAGTATTTGGTAGCATTGCCTTTAAATTGTTTAATTTGAGTCAAACGTTTCGTCTAGCCTTCCACGTGGTCCTCTGTAGCTCAGCTGGTAGAGCACGGCGCTTGTAACGCCAAGGTAGTGGGTTCGATCCCCGGGACCACCCATACACAAAAATGTATGCACGCATGACTGTAAGTCGCTTTGGATAAAAGCGTCTGCTAAATGGCATATTATTATTATTATTACAAGCTTCCCACAATAAGTTGGGTGAATTTTTGCCCATTCCCCCTGACAGAGCTGGTGTAACTGAGTCAGGTTTGTAGGCCTCCTTGCTCGCACACGCTTTTTCAATTCTGCCCACAAATTTTCTATAGGATTGAGGTCAGGGCTTTGTGATGGCCACTCCAATACCTTTGTTGTCCTTAAGCCATTTTGCCACAACTTTGGAAGTATGCTTGGGGTCATTGTCTATTTGGAAGACCCATTTGCAACCAAGCTTTAACTTCCTGACTGATGTCTTGAGACGTTGCTTCAATATATCCACATAATTTTCCTTCCTCATGATGACATCTAGCTCAGTTGGTAGAGCATGGCGTTTGCAACGCCAGGGGTGTGGGTTCGCTTCCCACGGGGGGCCAGTATGAAAATAAAAAAGAATAATGTATGCACTAACTGTAAGTCGCTCTGGATAAGAGCGTCTGCTAAATGACGTAAATGTAAATTTTAAATAAAGCACCAGTCCCTCCTGCAGCAAAGCACCCCCACAGCATGATGCTGCCACCCCGTGCTTCACGGTTGGGATGGTGTTCTCCGGCTTGCAAGCCACCCACTTTTTCCTCCAAACATAACGATGGTCATTATGGCCAAACAGTTCTATTTTTGTTTCATCAGACCAGAGGACATTTCTCCAAAAAGTACGATCTTTGTCCCCATGTGCAGTTGCAAACCGTAGTCTGGCTTTTGTATGGCGGTTTTGGAGCAGTGGCTTCTTCCTTCCTGAGCGGCCTTTCAGGTTATGTCGATATAGGACTCGTTTTACTGTGGATATAGATACTTTTGTACCTGTTTCCTCCAGCATCTTCACAAGGTCCTTTGCTGTTATTCTGGGATTTATTTGCATTTTTCGCACCAAAGTACGTTCATTTCTAGGAGACAGAACGCGTCTACTTCCTGAGCGGTATGACGGCTGCGTGGTCCCATGTTGTTTATACTTGCGTACTACTGTTTGTACAGATTAACGTGGTACCTTCAGGTGTTTGGAAATTGCTCCCAAGGATGAACCAGACTTGTGGAGGTCGACAATTTTTTTTCTGAGGTCTTGGCTGATTTCTTTTGATTTTCCCATGATGTCAAGCAAAGAGGTACTGAGTTTGAAGGTAAGCCTTGAAATACATCCACAGGTATACCTCCAATTGACTCAAATGATGTCAATTAGCCTATCAGAAGCTTCTAAAGCCATGACATCATTTTCTGGAATTTTCCAAGCTGTTTAAAGGCCCAGTCAACTTAGTGTATGTAAACTTCTGACCCACTGGAATTGTGATATAGTGAATTATAAGTTAAATAATCTGTCTGTAAACAATTGTTGGAAAACTTACGTGTCATGCACAAAGTAGATGTCCTAACCGACTTGCCAAAACTAGTTTGTTAACAAGAAATGTGTGGAGTGGTTGAAAAACGAGTTTTAATGACTCCAACCAAAGTGTATGTAAACTTCCGACTTCCACTGTAGCTCTTCCAGTGAGTAAGCTATTCTGTTTCATGTGATTGTGTATAAATCTTTATTTGAAATGAAAACAATCATTTTGATCTTGTAGTCTATGCAGATGGAAGTATATGTCTAGACATCCTTCAGAATCGTTGGAGCCCCACATATGATGTGTCTTCCATTTTGACGTCTATCCAGGTAGGTTTGTAATCCGTCTCTCCTCCATCAGTCTGACATCATGATAGACTACTTTGTCTGTGTGTCTGTATTTTACAAATGTAACACAGTTTCTTTATGTAGTGTACTTCATTTCTGTTTTGCAGTATGTTCTGTATAACCTTGGTTGTACCTTTGTTGGAATGTAGCATTGTGGTGTTATTTCTGCTCCTGGATATACTGTACATAACAAGACTCTGACTCAAGTCACCTTACTGAAAGTGTAGGGTCGAAGAACTACACACGTTCATACCGGTACATTCAATCTCTTTGTGTTCACAGTCCCTGTTGGATGAGCCGAATCCTAACAGTCCAGCCAACAGCCAGGCTGCACAGCTTTATCAAGAAAACAAGCGGGAGTACGAGAAGAGAGTTTCTGCCATCGTGGAGCAGAGCTGGGTAGACTCCTAACACACACCCCCCCCATCACTGCTATCAAATACTTCAATCTGTCATTTACCTCATCAAGAAAATAAGTTGACATCAGAAGAACTTAAGTGCCACCTGAAAGAGAAAGTAGGGACTTTTACTTGCTTGCCAACACATTTGAAGAATATCAATCTGATATTCTTGTTCCTATTTTTTTTTATTGCATGATGTGAAATAACTTATTGCTAAGAGAATTTGTAATATATATTTTTTGTTGGGTTGATGCTGTTAGTGTTTTAGTTTCTACAGAATCGTTTATTTTTTAACGTCTCTTGGTTTAAACCATTTGAGAGTATTTTGTCATATCAGCAAATTGGTAGAAATCCATAAAACATTACTTACAGTGCATTCGTTAAGTATTCAGACCCCTTCCCTTTTTCCACATTACAGCCTTATTCTAAAATGGATTAAATAAATACAAAAATCCTCAATCTACCAACAAACCCCATAATGACAAAGCAAAAACAGATTTTTTGAAATGTGTACAAATGTATAAAAAAATTAAATAAAAATACCTTATTTACATAAGTATTCAGACCCTTTGCTATGAGACTCGAAATTGAGCTCAGTTGCATCCTGTTTCTATTGCTCATCCTTGAGATGTTTCTACAACTTGATTGGAGTCCACCTTTGGTAAATTAAATTGATTGGACATGATTTGGAAAGTCTATATAATGTCCCACAGTTGACAGTGCATGTCAGAGCAAAAACCAAGCCATTGGGAATTGTCCGTAGAGCTCAGAGACAGGATTGTGTCGAGGCACAGATCTGGGGAAGGGTACCAAAAAATGTCTGCAGCATTGAAGGTCCCCAAGAACACAGTGGCCTCCATCATTCTTAAATGGAATAAGTTTGGAACCACCAATACTCTTCCTAGAGCTGGCCGCAAGGCCAAACTGAGCAATCGGGGGAGAAGGGCCTTTGTCAGGGAGGTAACCAAGAACCCGATGGTCACTCTGACAGAGCTCCAGAGTTCCTCTGTGGAGATGTGAGAACCTTCCAAAATGACATCCATCTCTGCAGCACTCCACCAATCAGGCCTTTATGGTGGAGTGGCCAGACGGAAGCCACTCGTCAGTAAAAGGCACATGACAGCCCGCTTGGAGTTTGTCAAAAGGCACCTAAAGGACTCTCAGACCATGAGAAACAAGATTACTTGGTCTGATGAAACCAAGATTGAACTCTTTGGCCTGAATGCCAAGCGTCACGTCTGGAGGAAACCTGGCACCATCCCTACAGTGAAGCATGGTGGTGGCAGCATCATGCTGTGGGGATGTTTTTCAGCGGCAGGGACTGGGAGACTAGTCAGGATCGAGGGAAAGATTAACAGAGCAAAGTACAGAGAGATCCTTGATGAAAACCTGCTCTAGAGCGCTCAGGACCTCAGACTGGGGCGAAGCTTCACCTTCTAACAGCACAACGACCCTAAGCACACAGCCAAGACAACGCAGGAGTGGCTTCGGGACAAGTCTCTGAATGTCCTTGAGTGGCCCAGCCAGAGCCTGGACTTGAACCCGATCTAACATCTCTGGAGAGACCTGAAAATAGCTGTGCAGCGACGCTCCCCATCCAACCTGACAGAGCTTGAGAGGATCTGCAGAGAAGAATGGGAGAAACTCCCCAAATACAGGTCTGCCAAGCTTGTAGCGTCATACCCAAAAAGACTTGAGGCTGTAATTGCTGCCAAAGGTGCTTCAACAAAGTACTGAGTAAAGGGTCTGAATACTTATGTAAATGTGATATTTCAGAATTGTATTTATTTATAAATTAGCAAAAAAAGTCTAAACCTGTTTTTGCTTTGTCATTATGTGGTATTGTGTGTAGATAGATGAGGGGGGGGGGGGGGGGGGGATGTAATAAATTTTAGAATAAGGCTGTAACGTAACAAAATGTGGAATTAGTCAAGGTGTCTGAATAATTTCCGAATGCACTGTAATAACGAGTACACTGTCCATATACAAAATTATGGAAGTCATTTTTATTATATATTTTTTTTACAGTATGGGTCGTATTGTGGCTAGTGTTTTATTTAACCTTATATGGGGAAAGGATATGTTATACATTTTTGTGTATTTACTCTAAAAATAATGTATGCTGTGTAAACAAAATAAAACAAATTTTTCAGACTTTGAGATGATTTTGATTTCAAATCATTTATTTTTAGTATGTGAAGAGTGCAGCTGTGGCATGTATATCTTTTGTCTTTGATAGTATTATGGACTAGGTTAAATAATCCTAATCTGCTGCATCCTCGATGGGCAGTAGCAGGCAACTAGGAGAGACTCTCATTTGGGCAAAAGACAGTCCCCCGTGACCCGGAAACCGATAAGTGGTTGAGGAGAGTGTCAATTAGTAGGTGAATGGAGGAGTGTCCTCGCATCCAACCCCCAAGAAAGCACAAGTATCCTACCCGAGTCCTTTGCAGAAGAATTTTGAGATCTGCCCACCCCTTTGAATCAGCGGTTTTCTCAAAGGAGAAAAGCATGCACACATTTAAAAACTATACACTACTTTTCCTTTTATCTATAAAATGTCTTGCACAACTATACTGAACAAAAATAAACGCAACATGCAACAATTTCAAAGATCTTACAGAGTAAAATGATTTCATTAGGCTCTAATCTATGGGTTTCACATGACTGGGAATACAGATATGCATCTGTCGGTCACAGAAACCATAAAAAAATGGGCCTCAGGATGTCGTCACGGTATTTCTGTGCATTAAAATTGCCATCGATAAAATGCAATTGTGTTCATTGTCCGTAGCTTATGCCTGCCCATACCATAACCCCACTGTCACCATGGGGCACTCTGTTCACAACATTGACATCAGCAAACCACTCGCCCACATGACGCCATACATGCTGTCGGCCATCTGCCCGTATCAGTTGAAACCAGGATTCATCCGTGAAGAGCACACTTCTCCAGCGTGCCAGTGGCCATCAAAGGTGAGCATTTGCCCACTGAAGTCAGTTTCTACGCCAAATGGTTACACGGGGTCTGCGGTTGTGAGGCTGGTTGGATGTAGTGCCAAATTATCTAAAACGACATTGGAGGCGGCTTATGGTCGAGAAATTAACATTCAATTCTCTGGCAACAGCTCTGGTGGACATTCCTGCAGTCAGCATGTCAATTGCACGCTCCCTCAAAACTTGAGACATCTGTGGTATTGTGTTGTGTGACAAAACTGCACATTTTAGAGTGGCCTTTTATTGTCCCCAGCGCAACGTGCACCTGTATAATGATCACACTGTTTAATCAGCTTCTTGATATGCCACACCTGTCAGGTGGATGGATTATCTTGGCAAAGGAGAAATGCTCACTAACAGGGATATAAACAAGTTTGAGAGAAATTAGCTATTTGTGCGTATGGAAAATTTCTGGGATCTTTTATTTCAGCTCATGAAACATGGGACCAACACTTTACATGTTGCGTTTATATTTTTAGTCAGTATAAATACTGGCTAGACCGAGGTAGTAGAGCAGACTGATCTGGATCATCCCTGGCAAGCAGGGGGCTGTGTTCCCCTTACTGCCCAGTGGGCAAGCATCAGGGCCATATACCAGCATAGACTTTAGAAAGCACATTGGAGCAGAAGATTGAGGTTTTGAGGAGGCGGTAAGGGGTGGAATCAAGGAAATACAATTGAGGTTCACTCTGGGATAATTAGGGAGAACTGAGGGATGAGTGAAGACCACATGGAAAGCCCTTTTCTGTACACCTCCCTTGGTTTTAAAGTGAGGTGCAAGGCGGCACTCTCAGGAGATTATGTAAAAATTGTAACTCATCACATGCACATTCCTGGCTTTACAATGTTTATTATTTCAACATGTTCTCACCAATGTTATTCAGATAATGGGAATTGTCGATCGAGTACATTAGATATTGAAGCAGGCCAATCAACTAAAATGATTTTAATATATAAAATGTTTCAAAAGTTAATCGCTTATGTTACATTTGTCGTAATACATGATAAAAAACCTATAAGAAGCTTGCATGTTAATAAAATAACATTTCAAAATCATATGTATCTGGAAAGAGTAAGTTGGACAGTAAGGTAATCCATCCATAACAGAGCAGGTCCTCCAATCATCGTTTCTGAAGGAGAGGGAGAGAGAATGGTTATAGTGGTGTGTCCTAACACTGTTAACTTGCCTCGTTTCCTTTGGTCTGTGTCTGTGATCACTGACCTGAATGACCTAAATTAAGTGGATAGGAGAAAGTAATATGTTGGAAGGCCTAGTCTAAGACAAGACAAGAAGATGAGGCATTATTTTGGTATGAAATAGAACTTACCTGGTTTTTCATGACCTCATCTCTGGTTTTGAAAACAGGAGCATCCTCCACCACAATTCCTTCAGCCATTTCCTTCATTTTCTCCAGGAGGTCTGGACTGTATCTGAGAGAGCATGCAGAAACAGCAGTTAGTTACATTGCATGCCACACATTAGGTACATGATGGTATGCTAGAAGGCATTTTAGCTAAATAACAACTCAAGTACCAGTAGTCAATGCACGTGATGTGTATTATTGTTTACTCACCGACAGCCAAGAAACACGTTGTTGGCCCATACCATGGACAATGCTAGCAGCTGGTCAATGTGTGGGTCCTCAAAGTCGTTTATATTTCTGAATAGGAATTCCCTCCTGGCCTTCCATTGTTTTTCACTCTCTGAGATGCCACGATATGTATCTACAAGCTCGGCCAAATGCCTGTTTTGTTCAATGAATTCCTCGATATCCACCTCGGCCATTTCGACAAGTAAACCACGCTTCCGTACTACAAAATGCTTGTGCGCAGAGAGGAAGGCAGGAAGCTCGTGCGAAAGTCCCAGCAAAGACAGAACAGTATGCAGATGTACTAAAACTACTTCTCCAATAGAAATCTCATTCTTCATCTTCTTCTTCTTCTTCTATGGGTTTTATGGCAGATTACAACCCCAAAACGTTTATCACCGCCACCAACTGGACGGGGTTGAAAAAACCAAGGTACAAATAAAACCCATATGTGATAGAGAAAGCCAACTTAATCCACCCAAAATACAACTATAAAAACTACATTGAGAAAACTAAAACCTCCCACTTCTTCCTTCCTTCAAATCTGCATACCTCCCTTCTCAGGCTCTATGACCTGAGAGGGTGGTACGGCTTGTGACAATACATTTACATTTTAGTCATTTAGCAGACGCTCTTATCCAGAGCGACTTACAGTTAGTGAATACATATTTTTTTATACTGGCCCCCCGTGGGAATCGAACCCACAACCCTGGCGTTGCAAACGCCATGCTCTATCAACTGAGCTACATCCCTGCCGGTCATTCCCTCCCCTACCCTGGACGACGCTGGGCCAATTGTGCGCCGCCCATGAGTCTCCCGGTCGCGGCCGGCTGCGACGGAGCCTGGATTCGAACCAGGATCTCTAGTGGCACAGTTAGCACTGCGATGCAGTGCCTTAGACCACTGCGCCACTCAGGAGTACACTGTGCCACTCAGGAGTACAGAATACTCCATGCAACTCCTCTGCCGAGAAAGTCTTTCAGTCCCAGGAACCGTTCTGCTTCATCCACAAGTATATATATTCCCCACCTTGGCAGTGCCATTAATCACCATGGCTGTAAAGACCACAAAGTCCACCTTCTTAACCTTTAACATATCTGGGTCCTGCTGTTGAAAGTCAACCCCTGCAGCCTTCAGTGAAGGCCTATCCACCACCATAGACTCTTCAGGAGCACCATTCGAACCCTCAACTCTTTTAACAGCCGCTGCATATGAAATGCTCTGGACAGCCCTGACTTTGGCTACCTCATTCTCTTTCACCCTTGTTGGGCATTCTAAAGACGTGGCTTCATGGTTCCCATCACAATTGCAACATGTCACATTTTCATCACTTTTAAAACACATGATATGATATTTTCCATAAATGTAACATCTCGGCTTCTCCCTTCTGCAAACCCTTGAAATATGTCCAAAAGCTTTACAATGATCACACTGCATTGGTCTTGGAACAAATGCTCTGACTCTGTAGTTTATATATCCCAACTGCACTTGAGAGACTCCATATGAAAATAAAAATAAAGAACAGATAGACTCTTCACTTTTTATTCATTCAACACATGATTCATCTGACGAGCATCAATCACTCCAGGAATAGAGACACAGGACACATCAAACTTCTCCAATCGGGTGAGGCTCAACACACACTGCTTCTGATCCTCAGAAGAACAAACATTTTAAAAATGCCCGCCTCTCGTGGTAATAGAAATCCTCCATCACACTTGTAGGCGATGTCATGGCAACGTTGGCTAGCAAAGCTCATGCGTAGAACACCTCATCCGGTCTAACGGTCTTCTCGCGCCAAACTGTGCATGTGCAAGCCGTGAAATCAAAGGCACTTCTTCGATATAAAGTAGTTTTATACGAAAATGAAAACGTGTCATTTAGTCACTTTCACGAGGTTGGAGTAATAACATATTGAGATACTTAAGACATTGGCTCGAATCTAGGTTGTGCCTTTAGATTTCGAGAAAATTAACAACTAAGGAATAATTTTTTACTTCTCTCATTGCCTTCTCAAACTCCAAATCCCGGCCTGGTCTGTTTGGTCTGTTTCGCAATCGTCCCCGGAAGTCTTGCAATGTTGCGCCTCTGGGTTTAGAAACTCTGTGTTACCAGTATTTATTACAGCCCCATCCTGTGGCCGAATAGAGAACAACATTTTCCAAATGTCTGCACTCCTACTGACCGGTACTGGAGGATTTTTTGAAATCATTAAATTGAATCCCTACTTTGTGTACAAATATAGCCTGCTTTATGTGCATCAGCCTTCCTGTAGCCTCTGCTAATAAATCGGGACTTTTTAGGCACACGATGTAGCACGCTTGCCCTGACTTTGCCAGGTTGTTGGTTCAAACCCGGATTTAGCTGTTCCCACTCTATTGCAACAGATTTATCCAATTCAACTCTGCAATGTAATTAAGAAGCTAATTGTGGGTTAGGGGGACACATACGAATTTTGTGACCTATTCTAATTAATAGCATTTCCAGAAAGCATGGATTATTGAGTCATTGTTAGGTTTACACTTAAGACATGAATTTGTGAATTTTGTCTCTTGTATAATAAATTCTATACATTAGCATAGAATAAGAATACAATGTTTCTGAACACTTCTACATTAATGTGGATGCTACCATGATTATGGATAATCATGAATGAGTCGTGAATAATGATGAGTGAAAAGTTACAGATTCTAACCTCTCACCATTACCAATAATATGGGAGGTTAGCATTTTTGGGGGGGGGGTATGATATTTATGCCTATGTAACTTTCTCACTCATCATTATTCACGATTAATTCATGATTATCCATAATCATGGTAGCATCCACATTCATGTAGAAGTGTTCAGAAACATATGATATTCTTATTTACAGTAAAAGTGACTCCAAAATGACACAATACATTATTTACCATTCATTTCTATTGGGCACAACATAATCCAAAACACAACCAAAACAAACTGCAAATGCAGTTTTAGAAAAAAAGGGTTACAAAAGGGTTCTTCAGCTGACCCCATAGGAGAACCCATTTTGGTTCCCGGTAAAACTCTTTTGGGTTCCATGTAGAACCCTCTGTGCAAAGGGTTCTACATGGAACTCAAAAGGGTTCTTCAAAGGGTCTCCTATGGGGACAGCCGAAGAACCCTTTTAGGTTCTAGAAAGCACCTTTTTTTCTAAGTGTAGGAATATGGGACAAAATACAAAACTTTTGTCTACTTAAATACACTATAAGTGAATTTGTCCAAATTCTTATGACACCTTCAAATGGGGGGAATAGATACATAAAGTGCTTTCATTTCTAAACAGTAAAACAGATATGTATGTATGAAAATTCCCTCAAATAAAAGGTGAAATTCTGTACTGTCGCCTCATATAAAATTATTTATCTCAAATCCAAAATGCTGGAGTATAGAGCAAAATTAAAAGTTTTAGTTTAACTGACCAAATAAATATGTTGGGGGGTGTACCTGGTATGCCAATCTATGCCATCTAAAGCATATTGTCTGGACTGCAAGTCTGTGACCTATATATCACTCTTACATCACTCCTTTACCCCTTTGCCAAAAAACAGAAGATACAGTAAGAAGCTATATTCTATTTTGTCACTTGACACTACAGAAAGAAAGCCTTTATAAATGAACATTGTGACATATAAAAAATTTATTATGATATCCTCCCAACCCCAAACTCAGGTTACAGGTTTACTACCAGGCTACTTGCCAAAATAAATAAAGGCCTTTTTTCAAAGGCAGGGTTGAATGGAAACCATCCAAGAACATACTGACACCCCCTTGGCTGCCTCTTCATGTGACCAGGGGACCCTTACAGACATGCCAGGATCAAGATCAGAGAGAAATACTTTACAATCCCGTCAGTTCTGAGGAGGAAGCCTTTGGGGGCTTGTTTTGACACAAAGTAATTGATATGCTGTAAGATTCCAATGGCCTCCAAGCTAAAAAGGTGTTTCACAGACCACCCTGCTTCACTCTGTCTATATGAACAGGTTGGGACAGCATCCTGACAGGTATGAATGGAACAAGACAAGGGATGAGGGCAAAAGTGTAATAACACATGTAGGACTTCCCCTTCATTTGTTATGTGAGGAGGGTGTCACTTTACTTGACATCTTGACAAGTCTCCCCTTCACAGTGTCAAATATTAGATATTAATTTGTCATTTTTGAGTCACATTCTACAGTCATTTCAATAAGTACATGGTTAACTCAAACTGATATCTATTTATTGTAATATGCATATTGTGTTAATTTGTTACTCCAGTCATTTGCTATCATATGCAAATGCTAACATTCACCATGTACAGGTATTTTAACATCACCAATCACAGGGTGAAAATACAATGCACTTTACTGCTCTCTGACATCTTTCTGAGAAAGTAAAAAACAACAGGAGAAATCATCTGCAATCACAAAATTCCAAGTGGTATAACCATTGATTACAGATGGAAAAACTATCTACTAATAATTAACTGTTTCTAAACTACTTGTACCCTTTATAAATCATTTAAAGTATACCCCCAAATGTAAAGTGTTACCAACCTCGCCTTTCCCTATTATCTGTGCAGTGCAAAGCGCTGTAAACGATACATCAGAGTAATGTAAAAACCCGTAGGGCCAACTGAAAAAAGGCTAGTCCTAGTTTAAATGCAAAGCACTCAAGAATGCTTGGTTTGCACATGTCCTTACTGTACATACTGGTACTCACTCAGAGCTATAGTATACTGTATGTAGATGTACAGTGGGGAAAAAAGTATTTAGTCAGCCACCAATTGTGCAAGTTCTCCCACTTAAAAAGATGAGAGAGGCCTGTAATTTTCATCATAGGTACACGTCAACTATGACAGACAAAATGAGGAAAAAAAATCCAGAAAATCACATTGTAGGATTTTTAATGAATTTATTTGCAAACTATGGTGGAAAATAAGTATTTGGTCACCTACAAACAAGCAAGATTTCTGGCTCTCACAGACCTGTAACTTCTTCTTTAAGAGGCTCCTCTGTCCTCCACTCGTTACCTGTATTAATGGCACCTGTTTGAACTTGTTATCAGTATAAAAGACACCTGTCCACAACCTCAAACAGTCACACTCCAAACTCCACTATGGCCAAGACCAAAGAGCTGTCAAAGGACACCAGAAACAAAATTGTAGACCTGCACCAGGCTGGAAAGACTGAATCTGCAATAGGTAAGCAGCTTGGTTTGAAGAAATGAACTGTGG